CCCGCGGCGCACCTGGCTCTGGCGGTTGAAGTAGCTGTGCTCCTTGGGGCCCTGGCGCCGCGGCGGGACGTAGCTGAAGGCCGACAGCGCCGACAGGGGCAGCGACCGGGGCCTGACTCGCAGCGAGGCGGCAGTGATCTCCTCCTCCTCCTCCTCCTCGCCCTCCATGCCGCCCGCGTCCCGCTTCCCCACGGCCGCCGGGCTCCGTCCTGCCTCCATCCCGCCGCTGGGAGCCCAGGGCCAAGCCACCGGCTTCACGCAGCCCGCACCGCGTCGGGGTGTCGCCTGGCAACCGCGGCCTGGCTAAGCCAGGTTGGGCCGTGGGGCGGGACTGCCCCTTTCCTCTCCCCTGACCCCGCCACTTCAGCTAGGTACTTTCTGGGTTGTGTATCTGGGTGCGGAGCCCCAGCTGCTACAGCGGCTGGGTCGGGGTCCTGGGTGAGAGACGCCTATGCGGCAGCACTTCCCAACCTGCTCGCCTGTCCCCACGCAGGGTGTTCGTCCACTCAGAGGCCGTTCGTTGGGCAGCTGATGACCGGGCACCTACTCCTAGTAAGTGCCAGCGCTGGAGATGCAGCTTGAACCCGTGTCCCCGCGGAGCTGACAGTTTGGTGTAAGACAGGTAATAGACGTGGAAAAGACGAGTAACTTAAAGAGCAGCTTTAAGCCTAGAGCAGAGACGCCCAACTCCAATGTAGTGAGACACACACACAGTTAAGAAAACTTTCTGGTAACCACACTAAGAGGGTAAAACAACACGGTAAAATGAATTGTAAAATATATTTATTTAACTCCGTATGTTCACACCAGCGTTTCAATATGGGTACTAGCCCTATTTCAAGGGCTTGGTGGCCACCTGTGGCTTTGGCCAGGGCAGGTGTAAAGCTTCCATTAATTAAATCAGCGTGATCTAACAAAATCGGGCAGAACTCCGCTGCTAAGGCTGAGCTCTAGGGACCCTCTGTAAACGTGGTTATGTTGTCTCCTCTGAATGCTGGTTCAATAGGTCTGTTCCCTTGGCTGAAAATTCATTGGGCTGGTGGCTGAGAGGGATGGATGTATAACTACACATATTTATAACTAGCAGAGGAGAACTACCTGTTGGTGTACCCAGAGAATGTCAAGGGCATCTGTAACAGGCTTATGAATGATGTTCCTGCAAGCCCAGACACCTGTCTGCACTGGTGTCCAAATCTCCCATCCGTGCTGATTGTCAGAATAATAGCATGAGCCTGGGCATGGGCAGTGGCCCATGTGGGGTTAGTTAGACAAACCTTTACCTTATTCTATGCCTCCTTCCTGGTAAAAAGGCATGAATCTTGTCAGCTGGTTTGAAGCTTTTTGGTCATCAGGTTTTTCCTGTAGGCTGGTTCATACAGTTGATGGAGCCTTTATGATTAGTCACTTTAAATATCAAAGCTATGAATCAAGATATATAAATGTAATTTAATTTTGGTTCACCTTGTTGATTTGGAATAAAAATGAACTTGATTTTATATGATGCCTAAAATGATAATTCCCCAATACTAACAACTTTAGCAGTGAGCACCCTGCAGGCACCGGGGTTCCTTAGAGGGGGTGACCCAGCATGGGGAACTTAGGTCTGGAACAAGAAATGGTAAGATGAGCCTGGAACATCTTGCTCTGCCAAGAAATTTTTTTAAAATTTATGTGATGAGGTGAAAAGGATGAACGGGCCCATCTGAAAGGTATCCCATTTAAGCATAAAGAAGACAGGGGTACTGGATTGAAACACATCAAATATATAACATTTCATGAGTTAATAAATATCCTAAGGAAATAAAATGACCAGAGCACCAACCGTTTATTTTATAAATTAATACACGATAGAAAAGATGTATCTTTCTGTGTAAACATTATATTAGGGTATACAAGTAGTTGATAGGAGAAAGTTCTTCTTTACAGATAAATGTAATGAAAGTAGAAGGATTGATAGAATTAGGAAATAATTTTTTAATTAGAAATAATTTTTTATTAGAAATAATGATTGAGGCAACAATCATCAACTGATGCTAAAACCATTAGGTGGAAGGCTGATGGGGCTATAGAGTGGATGGATCATGCATGTAATACAGCACCCACGGATCAAACTTAGTGACTAGCACTAAGAGGGGACAACCAGACATTAGTGTATGATGCGAAGCAAATACACAGCATCTCCTCCAAAGCATCCTTGTCAAAAGAAGGAAGGAAGGAAGGAAGGAAGGG